CGAGTTCATTTTGGGGTCACTGAGTTCATTTTGGGGTCACTCGAGTTCATTTTGGGGTCACTGAGTTCATTTTGGGGTTACTCTGGGTCATTGGGGTTACTGTAGGTCAAACTTACTCTGTGCAGAAAATTTGGGGGTTACTTTAGGTCAAAAATCGGGCATTTTGGGGTCACTCGAGTTCATTTTGGGATCACTGAGTTCATTTTGGGGTTACTCTGGGTCATTGGGGTTACTGTAGGTCAAACCTACTCTGTGCAGAAAATTTGGGGGTTACTTTAGGTCAAAAATCGGGCATTTTGGGATCACTCGAGTTCATTTTGGGGTCACTGAGTTCATTTGGGGGTTACTTGAGTTCATTTTGGGGTTACTCTGGGTCATTTAGTTTACTACAGGTCATTTGGGAGTTACTTGAGGTCAACCAATTAGCATTTGGGGGTCAGAGGTGCTCCCCCTGCTCCAGTTTTATCTGGGAATGACAAAAATAGTGTTCCTTTGGGGCAGAACAACCAAAGCTCTGCTGCTCTGTCTCCTCTGGCCTGTAGAGCTGAACCCCAACCTCCCTCTGCCCCTGCAGACTTTCCCCCCCCTGCAGCTGCACATTTTGGGGATCTGTTTGAAACAAACACACCCACAGGGTTTGAAAGTTTAAACCAGGCTTTACTGGAGTGACAATCATTGACAGCGCCCATTGACAGCCAGGCTCGGGCTTTATTCATCACCATTACACAGGTAAAGAATTAATCTTTATTAAACTTGGCCTGAATTAGCCACGAGTCTCAAACAGGGAGTGCTGGCCCATGGGGGGCAGCGATTGTGTGGTGTGGAAATGAGAGGGGAGTGAAAGAAGCCAGGGGGGAAGTAGGATATCTTCCTTTTTTCCATGTTTTTTCTCAGTATTTAGTGGTGTTTTCTTCTTCTTCCTCTTCCTCAGAAAGGGCAGGACACAGCTCATCCATCTCCTCCTCACTGAGTTGTTTCATTTTTGCAATCAGGACCTGCTTCTTGCTTTGTTTTGTTTTCTTTTTTTTCCCTCTCAGGATGTTCTTGTTGTTACTTTGGCCTCACCGAGTATCTTCTCTACCTACTTACATGGGGGGGTGTTCTCTTTTTAATTCCCAGGTGCAGTTGTCTCCTGTTATTCTGTATATTTTCTGGGTATATTTTATATATTTTTATATATATTTATATTTTATATTTTATATTTATATTTTATATATATTTATATTTTATATTCTGTATATTTTCTGTGTATATTTTACCAAAGCTCTTTATTCTGTGTCCATTCTGATCCAGCTCTCCATCATCCTTACTCTTCAAAACCACTGCCAAGTGCCTGTCTGGAACATCCAGCTTGTGAGAACTCTCTGCTTTTTTGGAAGCAGGACTGATAAGTCCTTCAGTGTATAAATCTGCATTAACTCTTGGGATGTACTTTCCTTGTCTAAGCCCAGCTAACAGCAGATTCCAGCTGCCAACTTAGCAGTTGTGGCATCAAAATGGGTTTTTCCAATGGGAAAAAAGTTAGGCCTGCCCTTCACTGACTGTTCCCTGCTACGATTATAAACAGTAATTAGTGATTATTAAATGTTTCGTCTTGTTTAAGTCAGCCTGAATTCATGTTCACTCTCTTTAAAGAGAATTTTAATAGGAACAATTTGTCAGGATAAGCTCTTAGTCTTTGAGATAAATATATATAAATATTATATATAAAAATATATCATCTATATACATATACTTTAAAACATACGCTTCAAAAGATACATATACTTTGAAATATACACTTTAAAATACATATAAATATATATTTTTATATATATATATATACACACACACACATTTGTTTTAATACTTCCTACAAAGAATGTCTGACCCATTAATGTTCCATACATGAGAAAGGTTGAAATGTGACCTTGGTCCAGATAATTTCAGCTCCTTCCACTGTTTAAATTATCTTCTCCACGCTGTTGATTCGACCTTATTTTTATGTCTCCTGAAGGATTAAGGAACAACAAAAGGCTGCAAAAGAAAACATGCATAGTTGGAATATTTATTTTAGCAGAGTTTGGGGTTTTTTTTATTTATTTTATTTTTCAAACACAGTTGTAGCATTTGAAATTCTAGGATTCCAGTTTACAACATCCCAATGGAGCCACCATAGTTGAATCTACCCCAGGCCATCTAACAGTTGCTAATTATGCTGCTGTGTATGATTAGGTTGATTTTGAAATATTAAATTACAACCTGAAGAGCTTAAGATCAAAGAGAGATTAATCCATGGACCAGTTTTACAGTCTGGAGTTCAAGTAACAAAACGAGCTTTGCCTCAGGGTGAAGGCAAAATGCTACAGACCAGTGACTGAAAGGCTGCCAGGGGGTTAGATGGGATATTTGGGAGAAATCCTTCCCTGGGAGGGTGGGGAGACCCTGGCACAGGTTACCCAGAGAAGCTGTGGCTGCCCCTGGATCCCTGGAAGTGTCCAAGGCCAGGCTGGATGGGGCTTGGAGCAACCTGGGCTGGTGGAAGGTGTCCCTGCCCGTGGCAGGGGGTGGCACTGGATGGGTTTTAAGGTTCCTTCCAACCCAAACCATTCTGTGATTCTATTAAGTCACACCAAGGGTTGAGTCAGACCTTGGCCAACACTGCAATCCCTGCAGACAGGCACTCTGCTCATCACCACTGCTTGGACACCTGTGAAAACCTATAAAAACCCACAGAAAGTCATTAACATCATCATAACCCATTTGCACCCCCACCCACCACACCGCCCTGCCACTAAATAAGCGACTTGGTTACCTACCTACTTACCAACCACCCCCACCAGGAACCAGCCAGCACCATCTCCAGTGCCTGGGAGATCCTCTCCACCATCAGCTCCATGGGTTGTCCCACCCCAGACAGGCCACCTGCAGTGGGCAACCTCTGGAAAAACACACAGGCCCTTGGGCAACAGAGTCAGCTACCTCAGGGACAGCCACATCCACGCTCCTCATCGTCCTCTGGCCACAGAGTTCATTTATTGGTGCCAAGGTAAAGGGTAGGGGGGGGAAGAGAGGCAAGCAAAGTGAAGAGAGAGCCAGGAGACCTGGAGAGCAAAAAGGGAGATACAGCAGGGATGGAGAGAGGGCAGAGAGCCAGCAGATGCAGCAGGGTGAGCACTGAGAGGGAGAGGAGAGAGGGGTGGCAGAGAGGCACAGAGAGAGCAGAGAGTGAGCAGAGAATGAGCACCAAGAGAGGGGGACACAGAGAGAGAGCAGGGCAGAGAGCAGAGACCAAGCAGAGAGTGAAGAGGCACAGAGAGAGCGAGGGAGCACAGAGAGAGGGGGGAAGGAGGCACCAGAGAGGCAGTGAGAGAGAGAAAAGAAGGAGAAGGAGGAGAACTGAGAGCTAAAANGGGGTCACTCGAGTTCATTTTGGGGTCACTCGAGTTCATTTTGGGGTCACTGAGTTCATTTTGGGGTTACTCTGGGTCATTGGGGTTACTGTAGGTCAAACTTACTCTGTGCAGAAAATTTGGGGGTTACTTTAGGTCAAAAATCGGGCATTTTGGGGTCACTCGAGTTCATTTTGGGGTCACTGAGTTCATTTTGGGGTTACTCTGGGTCATTGGGGTTACTGCAGGTCAAACTTACTCTGTGCAGAAAATTTTGGGGTTACTTTAGGTCAAAAATCGGGCATTTTGGGGTCACTCAAGTTCATTTTGGGGTCACTCGAGTTCATTTTGGGGTCACTGAGTTCGTTTTGGGGTTACTCTGGGTCATTTAGTTTACTACAGGTCATTTTGGAGTTACTTGAGGTCAACCAATTAGCATTTGGGGGTCAGAGGTGCTCCCCCTGCTCCAGTTTTATCTGGGAATGATAAAAATGGTGTTTCTTTGGGGCAGAACAACCAAAGCTCTGCTGCTCTGTCTCCTCTGGCCTGTAGAGCTGAACCCCAACCTCCCTCTGCCCCTGCAGACTTTCCCCCCCTGCAGCTGCACATTTTGGGGATCTGTTTGAAACAAACACACCCACAGGGTTTGAAAGTTTAAACCAGGCTTTACTGGAGTGACAATCATTGACAGTGCCCATTGACAGCCAGGCTCGGGCTTTATTCATCACCATTACACAGGTAAAGAATTAATCTTTATTAAACTTGGCCTGAATTAGCCACGAGTCTCAAACAGGGAGTGCTGGCCCATGGGGGGCAGTGATTGTGTGGTGTGGAAATGAGGGGGGAGTGAAAGAAGCCGGGGGGAAGTAGGATATCTTCCTTTTTTCCATGTTTTTTCTCAGTATTTAGTGGTGTTTTCTTCTTCTTCCTCTTCCTCAGAAAGGGCAGGGCACAGCTCATCCATCTCCTCCTCACTGAGTTGTTTCATTTTTGCAATCAGGACCTGCTTCTTGCTTTGTTTTGTTTTCTTTTTTTTCCCTCTCAGGATGTTCTTGTTGTTACTTTGGCCTCACTGACTATCTTCTCTACCTACTTACATGGGGGGGTGTTCTCTTTTTAATTCCCAGGTGCAGTTGTCTCCTGTTATTCTGTATATTTTCTGGGTATATTTTATATATTTTTATATATATTTATATTTTACATTTTATATTTATATTTTATATATATTTATATTTTATATTCTGTATATTTTCTGTGTATATTTTACCAAAGCTCTTTATTCTGTGTCCATTCTGATCCAGCTCTCCATCATCCTTACTCTTCAAAACCACTGCCAAGTGCCTGTCTGGAACATCCAGCTTGTGAGAACTCTCTGCTTTTTTGGAAGCAGGACTGATAAGTCCTTCACTGTATAAATCTGCATTAACTCTTGGGATGTACTTTCCTTGTCTAAGCCCAGCTAACAGCAGATTCCAGCTGCCAACTTAGCAGTTGTGGCATCAAAATGGGTTTTTCCAATGGGAAAAAAGTTAGGCCTGCCCTTCACTGACTGTTCCCTGCTACGATTATAAACAGTAATTAGTGATTATTAAATGTTTTGTCTTGTTTAAGTCAGCCTGAATTCATGTTCACTCTCTTTAAAGAGAATTTTAATAGAAACAATTTGTCAGGATAAGCTCTCAGTCTTTGAGATAAATATATATAAATATTATATATAAAAATATACCATATATATACATATACTTTAAAACATACACTTCAAAAGATACATATACTTTGAAATATACACTTTAAAATACATATAAATATATATTTTTATATATATATACACACACACACACATTTGTTTTAATACTTCCTACAAAGAATGTGTGACCCATTAATGTTCCATACATGAGAAAGGTTGAAATGTGACCTTGGTCCAGATAATTTCAGATCCTTCCACTGTTTAAATTATCTTCACCACGCTGTTGATTCGACCTTATTTTTATGTCTCCTGAAGGATTAAGGAACAACAAAAGGCTGCAAAAGAAAATATGCATAGTTGGAATATTTATTTTAGCAGAGTTTGGGGTTTTTTTTTATTTATTTTATTTTTCAAACACAGTTGTAGCATTTGAAATTCTAGGATTCCAGTTTACAACATCCCAATGGAGCCACCATAGTTGAATCTACCCCAGGCCATCTAACAGTTGCTAATTATGCTGCTGTGTATGATTAGGTTGATTTTGAAATATTAAATTACAACATGAAGAGCTTAAGATCAAAGAGAGATTAATCCATGGACCAGTTTTACAGTCTGGAGTTCAAGTAACAAAACCAGCTTTGCCTCAGGGTGAAGGCAAAATGGTACAGACCAGTGACTGAAAGGCTGCCAGAGGGTTAGATGGGATATTTGGGAGAAATCCTTCCCTGGGAGGGTGGGGACGTCCTGGCACAGGTTGCCCAGAGAAGCTGTGGCTGCCCCTGGACCCCTGGAAGTGTCCAAGGCCAAGTTGGATGGGGCTTGGAGCAACCTGGGCTGGTGGAAGTTGTCCCTGCCCATGGCAGGGGGTGGCACTGGATGGGTTTTAAGGTTCCTTCCAACCCAAACCATTCTATGATTCTATTAAGTCACACCAAGGGTTGAGTCAGACCTTGGCCAACACTGCAATCCCTGCAGACAGGCACTCTGCTCATCACCACTGCTTGGACACCTGTGAAAACCTATAAAAACCCACAGAAAGTCATTAACACCATCATAACCCACTTGCACCCCCACCCACCACACCGCCCTGCTACTAAATAAGCGACTTGGTTACCTACCTACTTACCAACCACCCCCACCAGGAGCCAGCCAGCACCATCTCCAGTGCCTGGGAGATCCTCTCCACCATCAGCTCCATGGGTTGTCCCACCCCAGACAGGCCACCTGCAGTGGGCAACCTCTGGAAAAACACACAGGCCCTTGGGCAACAGAGTCAGCTACCTCAGGGACAGCCACATCCACGCTCCTCATCGTCCTCTGGCCACAGAGTTCATTTATCGGTGCCAAGGTAAAAGGCAGGGGGGGAAGAGAGGCAAGCAAAGTGAAGAGAGAGCCAGGAGACCTGGAGAGCAAAAAGGGAGATAGAGCAGGGATGGAGAGAGGGCAGAGAGCCAGCAGATGCAGCAGGGTGAGCACTGAGAGGGAGAGGAGAGAGGGGTGGCAGAGAGGCACAGAGAGGCATAGAGAGAGCAGAGAGTGAGCAGAGAATGAGCACCAAGAGAGGGGGACACAGAGAGAGAGCAGGGCAGGGAGCAGAGACCAAGCAGAGAGTGAAGAGGCACAGAGAGAGCGAGGGAGCGCAGAGAGAGGGGGAAAGGAGGCACCAGAGAGGCAGTGAGAGAGAGAAAAGAAGGAGGAGAACTGAGAGCTAAAACACAGAGGGCATGAGGTGCAGAGGGCAAAGAGAGTCCCACAACACCCTGCTCTCCCACAACACCCACCTCTCCCCTTGAGGCAAGGGGAACCAGCTGCCCCCCTCCTGCCCCACAACCCCAGTCTGCTCTGCACCTCCAGCCCACGGCAAACCTGCCAGACCCACGCTCCAGCCGCAACCCAGACCCTCAGCTCTGCTGTGCCCCCTTTTGCAGCCTCTTCTTGGTACCCAAAAACCCACCTCCCCACCCTCCCAGGGACTCTTTCCAAGCCCAGAGCCCTTCCAGCCAGGGCTGCCTCTCCCAGCCCTCGCCAGCACCACACGGCACCACGGCGCTTACGAAGGATTACAGCACTTTTTATTCCCACGCAGCCATTTCACAAAAACAAGACGAGACACCAACACAGACAGCCCCCCACACACCCACCAGCACCTCAAGGCTGCTCCACCAGGCACCCCAAATGCTGCTGCCCTGTTGCAAGCAGACCCCAACCCTCAAACAACTCTGCCGTGGCCCATCACAAAAAACACAGCAGGGAACTCCAGCCCCCTTTTACCCTGGCTCTTGTTCCTGCCCACCAGAAAGCACCTCTTTCCAAATATTGACACTGACTTGTCAGCACTGCAGCACAAAACCAAAACTTCCAGAGCCCTGGGGGTGAGTTTGGCTCTCCAGCACACACACCTCAGCACCGGAGAGCCAGAGGGTGACACGGTCCCAAGGTGTCACAGCATCCAGTGGTGGCAATGCACTGCTCTGGCCCACAGCCTGTGCCCCAACACCTACCTCTGGCTGTGTCCATGAGCTCCCAAAACCCTGATGGCAGCTCCCAAGGACTGTGGAAACCACAGCTGCCCCACAAAGGGACACACGCTCCGGCCTGTCCCACACTACAGACAGCAGTGCGGGCCACCTACAGTGCAGCTGTAA